TTCGGTCAGGATGGGTTGGGTTTTATGTACTTAGGTAAACTGAATAATGAATATAAATAATGCATCTGAATGGAGTCCAAGTATAAAATTTTGAAATTGCTTCGTGAGAAATATCTCCAATAAGTTTTAGGAGAGGTTTTTTTAAAGCAGGTTTTAATAGGATTTCAAATATATGTACGACCATTAATTGAACGTTGTAGGTTTTTTTTAGTGTAATATGAAATAATAACTGTACTTATGCGAACAATATTCTTCTCGAAAGAAAACGGATGATACATTTTAGTTTCAACAAAGAAAAATATATCGTTTGGAGTATAATACAATTTAGATTTCGTTTTCTATATGAATTTTTACATATCAACCAACATCTCACAGACACTCGCTTGTCTCGTGCATTTAACTTCTAGTCCTCCCGCTTCGAGTGTCTGCAGACGGTGGTAAACGTTTTGGATGAGTGCCATAACAGCTTGTGTATGCATACTATGCGTGTACACTACTGTACTTAATCTACCCGGTAAAAACCTAACGAGTGGTGCAGGGTGTGTAAAAAATAATAATATTATGGTGAAGGTGCAATTCGCTCGTTCTTAGACATTGACCTTTAAGAGAGCAATAATATGTCTACCTTAGTCCAGGCTGATGGCATCAAAAGACAACGAACAGAGCACAGTGTACAACCAAACCGGCTTTATGGGATTTTCACGGGCAGTATTGTTGTTAGCGGAGGAAATCCGGAGGGTATAGGCTAAGCAGCTCCATTTAACGTTAGATTACTCCTCCCAACATCTGTAGTGTTGCACCTATATTATTTTTCTTAGTAAAACTGTATTAACAAATAATTGAGGATAGCATTTTTTCAAATTTTTTTTTATCTTCAGCAAGGCCAATTTTTAGCAAAGTTCAGATTTAGACTAGCTTAGATTTATCTTTTTCTCCGAATGTATAACAATATAAATCTCATTATTGCTAAAATTAAATTCGGTTGCTCATGAACGAAGACATCTTCTATATATTGAGTATTATCAGTTTGCATTTAGTTTTAATAAAATTATAAATAACTATAATATATATATCTATCATATTATTTCCGTGTTTTACCTGAGAAAGTGATACTATTTTATAAAACGAGTATTTGGTATAATATGCGGTAAAATAGTTTCAACGTTTAGTAAATTTGTAAAAATTAGGTATTATTAGCAACAATAATACACAGTTAAAGATTTCGACAAAAAAAAAAGATAAATCACTTTTAAATTGCATCCAATTAAATAACAGCGTGTATGCATATTTAAGGAGTCGATAAATTTGTTTTATTAAATTTGGCTTCTATCGGTTCGGTGTGGTAGTAAAATGTTGCTCAGCCAAATTATATTATACACTACTGTAATGCTAATAATGATAATAATATCATGATGGCGCGTAAACGATCCCGTTTTGGTTGTCAGTGTGGGCGAATAGAACATAATAATATAACACATTACACGTCGTATTATTGTTATAGCTGTTATTATCTAGAAATACTTTTTGGTGACAAAAATCGTGCCAGGAATTACACACACACAGACATTATAATATATCTGCTTAGGGACGGTGTCTGCTCGTGACAGACGCGGTTACGTCTGATTCATGATATTAAAGGTAAATACTATTAAGTTATCAACGGCGAAAAAACAGCACACGGCACAAATTAAATGATAAAACCAATTTTGTGTTATACTAACAGCAGCGACATTGTGTAACTCGGCCGTCGCGGAATAGCACATATTATTATTACGTGTCTCCCAGTTTGTCAGCAGAGTAGATCCTTCGATCAGTATCTAATAACGTTATTAGATCACAGTCGGCTTTCTTCCGAAAAATTTTACACCGTTCTTGCGGCTTCAACGCGGACCTGTAAAGATATTGGTTTTCTTTGATAATATATTATATTATGTGTGTGTTTTGATTTCGTGTCTATCCGAACGATATTTATAGAGTCTAGATCAAAACTATCCATATATTCCTATTATAGTCATATTAGGTATATGACTATAATAGTTGCATGTGAGCTGTTACGTTCCTGTAATAGTCTTTTGACCATACATTGTATGCGGAGGTATAATTTGGGTAATCGAAATTTAATAAAGTCCGTAATCTCTTTCCTTTCAAAATCCACAAGATATCCTATAACTAGATAATAATAACATTTCAAATAACATCAAGTTTTGAGACTTTTTTTTAGCTTTTAATTACTGAATAACGACTGTAACAGCTCGCACATGTAACATTTAAGTTAGACAAGTATATAAAATATATTGGGGTTAAAAAGTATACAAATTGACAAATTACAACTAAATTATTGCAATTATTCGGGGAAGTAATTTAGCAGTGAGTTACCTTTAAAAAATGCAACTGGGTTTGATCTACCTTCAAGGTTTTACTCGCAAAATGTTCATTTTAAATATAATTGTTGAAAAACTTGTTTTGCAAGAAACTTGATACATATTTTATTTTAATGATATTATAATATTACTGTTTTTCTCTCAGACAAAATATGTTCAGTACAACAAAAACTAAATATTATAACTTATAATTAACATTTCAGAGGTTAACTTCAATGAACCAATTAATTTACATACTACAACTAAATAAAACTTAAAGTTTTTGTAATTTACATGTTTACCTGATGACAATTTGGATAATAGATCAAATTCATAATATTATGATCGAGAGAAACTAATACTTATATCGTTGTTGAGTTTAATTGTATATTTGAAATAACGTTATCATCGTTTTTTTGAAAATGAAAATTGTTTACCGTTTTCAAATTGACTCGAAGTCAAGTTTATTGAGCGTCCGACTTTTCTGATTATTTAATTGGTTTTTACATTAATTGAATCGTTTCAAAAATGATGGTCAAGCTACTTGTCTTTTTGACGAAATCTAGTATCTCTTTAAAAATCTCGCCCGATCACAACTCTCGAAAGCGTATGCGAAATAACACTATAAACATACACCCAAACGGAATTGGATGGTGATAATAATAATAATAATATGTACATAAAACATTGTATTCGTATTATACCTACCGCGTTAACTCCTTCGTTGTAAGAAACGCGTCCCGGAACAAACGTTTCGGTACGGCGCTATATTGAATCAATATCACAGCATCTCCCCCTTTGGGTGCAATATATTAATTACAATTATTAGTATATCCGGTTTTGTGTTACACACCGTCACCGTGATGTGCAATACAAATTAAGAACCGCATTGCTATTCAGTATTCATACCGCGTTTGTGTGTGTAGTGTTATTATCATTATGATTGTTATTATTATTATTACTATTATTATATTCTGGAGCGGTTTCGATTTGCTTGTTTATAAATTTCCAAACCATTGACAAACACGCCGTACAAATAATAATATGCGGTTTCCCTGAGAGTTTTCGGCGAGATTTCCATATATTACACTCTATCATAATAAATAATATTATAATATAACAGCAATATATATATATTTATGTAATTTTTTTGTTATTTTACGTGTAAAAGAATTAAATTCCTGTGGAATTAATGTGATTTCGACGAAGAAATAATAATAACATATTATAATATTGCCAAAGATTTTTAGACGTAGGTAAAAAAAATTGTAAATAATATTTTTCATTGGTCGTTTTTTTTTTTTGTCGCGTATTAGGAATTTAGTAATTGCTCGGAAATGTCGCGACCAGACAGACGGTGAACGAAACACGTCTCCGCACTGTAATCACTTGGTGGAGGGTTCGGTTGTCTGGCGTTTAACATACCTAAAAATAAACAGTAAATATATAATGCATTGGCAATGAAAAAACGTCGAAGCTAAGAAAAAATCACAATTTTTTTATCGAAATAAACGTAACCTTGAATTTAAATCCTTACACTTCACAAAACCGACGAGGTAGGTCAACGACATTTGCACTTTCCAGATGTATGTAATATGTATAATAATATTATCAACCGCTGGCCGTGTCCTTCTTTACGTAACGTATCAACACAAACGAGTATATTTTGTAATGTATTTTATTACATTTTGCCGGATCTAACCGGCGTTGGCGTAGAACTGGTTTTTTTTTAAATATTCAAACAATAACAAAAACAAACTGTACGAGACGATAGGTGGCGCCGACCAAATGTAGTTATTATAATGATATTGTGTATGGTTTTTAACGTTTTATCAGTTTAATTAAACGTGCAATTTAACGGATATGATTGGTAATACAAACAATTATTTTACTTATAGTTAAAAAGTATAAGGCTTTAACTGGCGTTTAACTTGCACCACGGGCGTATGTATAATAACGGCCATAAGGAATTCAACGCATTACTTTTCTGCTCCTCTCATCGGAGTACAAATCGCGTAGCCGGTGTACATTGTGTATACACACAATTGTATATAGTTGAAAGGAGAGTGAAAAGAGCTAATAAGGGGCAACATATAGGCAATATAACATAATATAGGCAATATTTAACATAAATTGATCGAATGGTGATCAAATTATGTCAATTGGAGAACCACATCAAAACTTTCTGATTTTTTTTTATACATGTTATAGAATATAGATAATATCTTCAATCTAATTTTCGGCTCTCAAGTCTTAAAAATGCACCTAAATATTTTTAAAAAAATGTCAACCCCTGTGGGAGGTGCGGGATTATTAAAATTTAGATTTCAGGCATTTTGTGGATAGGGGCATGCATAGTAAATATTCATTAAAAAAATTTCACTAGATCTGACCGTTTTTTTGCTAATTTATAGCAAGTTGAAAGCTGAAATCCCGGCAAACTTGTTTTTTCCTGTCTCGGGGGTAAGTTGACTTTTTGAACTTTTGAGCCACCAAAGTACCAATCTCATACAATTCCGGATCTATAAGCTAAAAATTTGAATTCACAAATTATTATTATTTTGAAGAGAAGATGCTCAACGTGTATGTTGTGTGGTTTTTATTTAAATAAATAATTGATTGAAATTAATTTTGTTTTAGATACTATTTTGGCACGATACTTCAGTTCCAAATCCACAAGGCCATGTGTTTGGCTTCCGGACAGTACAGGCCTAACGATCCCAACAAACTACTACACAAATGCGACATCTACAGAAGTAAAGAAGCAGGAGATATCCTGAAGTAAGTACTTTTTATGTAACACATTTATAAAGTCATAAATAACTGTATGGCATTTATCAGAAGGAAACCTGTCCCCATGCTACTTGATCCCAGTAAACTGAGTTTACATAATTAAAACATTACTGTAAATCTAAATGCCTTCAAATGAGTTTCGTTTCTTTTTTTCTACTTAGTTAGTTTTACATCCCATATATTCCTAAAATATATTCTGGCTATCATCCTATTCAAAACTGCTCTAAACTCATTTTCTTTATAATTTTTTAGACCGATAGATGTCGTCTTATTTATAGTTTAGTTCAGTGTTTCTCTATATTTTTTGATTCACCTAACCCACGAACTAAGATAAACTGGATAGCCAACGACGTATAATAAAGTATAAACCACTACCAAATTGAAACCTAAGTGGACACACCAAGTGTAAAAATTATCTAGCGCCACCTATCATACTAAGCAATTTACTATACTATCCTACTAGTATAGTAATGAAATATAACCAATAAATTACCCATGGATAAATGTAGCATGGTATTTGGAATTGTAATCATATTTACTACTTAATATTTTCAATGCCGCTTAGAGCGCTAGATCAATTTTGCACTTGGTGTGTCCACTTTGGTTTCAGCTTATTATAAGCCGTTGGCTATCCAGTTTATCTTAATTCGTGACCTAACCTAACTGAAGTTTTCTCAAAGCGCCCATAGCATGAATAATTACCAAACATATAGGTATAAAGAATAGGTCCCAATGCAAGCTTTTCGGTTGGAATTTTGGTTTCTTAATGAAATTCCATTTGTACTCGGAATGAGAAATAGGCGTGAATAATTAAATTATATTATGGTAACATAAACAAATTAGTCTTAATGCATCATCTTCTTCAAGGTGATGTATTTAATTTATTTTTACTTATAATGTATTTTTACCGTGCAGTTTATAATAAACAAGCGGACATTATAAAAAATAAAACCTACTTAGTTGTATGTCGACATATAATCGAATACTAAAGACATTAAAAACGCCACAGAAATTTAAACTAATTATTAATGAGACCTCCACAGACTCTGATATTCCCTTGATTTTCAGCCTTACGATAATTTTGCTGCGTGTCAGGCATAGTCGAATTATGACTACAACTATAATGTAATATTCAAATGGGTACATTGCCGAAAACAGAGTCATATTTTATTAGACTAATGGTTATACAATAACGCACGATAGTTGTTAGCACGGTCTACATCATATTAAATAACATACATATTAATGGAATATATTATAATTTATTACACACAGACCGAATGGATGCTTTTTGGAGTTTCTGCTGGCACGCGTTCGTCCTTGGTCCGTTTTCAATGCATTTTTTTTCTTATACACTTTGTATACAAATAATAATTATGCTAAGATCGAATAGGTCATCGTGAAATAGAATCAATTAGATTCGCTGTTATTTTGTTGTTTTTTTTTTTTTTTGTCTTTATTCTAAACATATGCAAACACCGAGCTCGTTATAATGAACGTTCATTATTCTAACCAAAAATATCATCATATTTTCGCCTTGAGGGGGGGGGGCGTTTTAATTAGCGACAATAATATTCGTCCGCGGCCGACTGACGATTATCTAACACGTCCGGCGTTGTCTTTAATTGAATGTGACGACGATGCGCCGTATCAATGGAAGGAACGTCATATATTATTGTTGTATTATTACATTTGCCGCAAAAACCTTTTGTCCAAAAGTGAAACGCCGCATTCCTTGGACCGTTTCCGACGGACAGTCTCTTGTAATTGCAGTGAAATGCGGTGTTTTTAATAACGGGAAAACACACTTAACGCAGGTGACTATACTGTGTGTGTGTGTGTTATGCAAGGCGAGGTGGTTTTTTTTTCCACCACCAGAAGAGCTCCGAGCACTGCCGCATACGTTTTTCTCGTTTTTGACTCCAAAGAAAACCAACATCTCGGACCACGCGATGGCCGGGGGAGACCTGACAAGACTAAATGCACACCGGCCGCCTTCGTTTAAATTCGCATAACCGGCCGATAATTTTACTCGGCGACAATGTCCACGTCTTGCACTGTGCTATTCGAAACGTGCCAAGATTAACATTTCTAAAATATTAAATTCACGCGTGGGCATGAACATTCCATTTATAATACCCGTGTCATGTTTATTACAAAATATTCTAATAAGTAAACGAGTAAAAAAAAAAATTACCATTTTCCTTGAGCTCAAACAAAGATTATGATGAACAACTGACCATCTGACTCAAATTCTTCTTTTCCAAATGATGGCGGCTCTTATTTTATAAGACTGTAGTGTGACCGACGACGGTGTATGGCAACGAGTGTCGAAATAAGATGAGAAATGAAAGGAAAATGAAAGTAGCTCATATGAAAATGTTAATCGTACGGAGTGGATATAGTCGCGCCAATAAGCCTAATATCAGATTTAAGAATTGACCATGTTGAAAGTAGGCAATTTATATTGACAATAAATTAACTGTCATCCGACTAAAGTATTAGCAATATTTTAATTAAACGTGACTTGAAGGCTGAAACTTAAATTTATACGGATGATCCATCTGATGTAAGACACTAATTTTCTCAGAGAATATGAATATTTTTTGAGAAAATAATGGTTTTCTTACACTTTTAGGTACATATTTTGTAGGTACGTATTTTTAATACGTTGAAAATTGTTATAATGAATAACATTGTAATTTGTTCGTTTACTATGACTTTGCAAAGATATTACATTTCGCCTTATAACAATTATCATAATATGTCTTCGGTTTTCCAAATTCCAGTAGCCCATAACAATCATATTTATGTTCGCATTGTCCGATAGGCGAGAACACCAATAACCAGACACGATAAAATTTTTTGAGATAATGATAGACAAGTGGGGCCTTATGTACCTATTCAAACACACTGACGGTGACAATGTTATCGATGGGGTCAATATTATTATTTAATGGAAAACTGTTGTGCTATTGTTGAAAACCCCGAACGAATATTGATCTTAAATTCAAATCTTTACAATGGCATAGCAAACGAATAATAAATATATAGGAAAAAAATAATTTTCAAAATTGAAAATTTTCTGTGAAACTGAGTGTCTTACTTCAGAAGGATCCCCTGTATACTTTTATTAACATCGCAAAGATAAGTCAACAATATTACTAGAGACTAAGTTAAGGCTTTACATGTTTCATTTTTCTACTGTTAATATTTTTCTATGTACGCAAATTCTATACTTAGTTCCTCAGAAATTTGCTTCATTCTATTTCCCACGTTTCCCATGTGTTAAGTCTAACGGAAACGTTTTGTTATTTTCCAGGAGGATAATGGAACCCGGATCTTCGGAAAACTGGAGGGACACGTTGTCGTTGGCCATAGGCGAAAACCGATTAGACGGATCTGCCTTGAGGGAGTTTTTCCAGCCACTCGAAGAATGGCTTCGAAACGAAAATCTCAGAACCGAGCAATTTGTTGGATGGACTTACGGTAAGCCGCGTTAGGTTTAATATTTGTTTTTACTTTACAGTCCCCAAAAAGAAGTACATCAGACCAAGTAGGATTTATTCTTTACCCTAAAGGGTTATAAAATTTGCATTTGACAATAAAAGTCAAATTTATGGGAGTAGAAGCACGTCCATTAAGTTAGTCAGAAATACTTATAGATAGATGTGATAGATGTGTGTATTTTTACGAACTGTGTTTCTATCTTCGATACAAGTGAACAGATCAACATATAGAATAAGACACACAGATGATTTCATCAGTTTCAAAATAAAATTAACATGAAATACAATTTAGCCGAAAGGTCAGTTACTTCTTTTCTAAAATGGCATGTTACAAGAAGCCCCTTATTATACGAATCCAATATAATAACAATAACATTTACGGGTAATGTATTCACACTGCTCTGTGGTATGGACATGTTAACCAGTCGTCCTTGTATGACTGGCTTAAGTGGTAAGCCGGCGGCGAAAGAAGACAATATCTTTACTTGAAGCTACTAAGATGAAATTGCATATTTCTTTGGCCCGTTTTTTTTTCTTCAATTTTGTATAAGTTACATTATTGTTTTGCGAAATTTGTATTGGTCATCATCTATATTATTACAGACGGAGATTACTGCAAGCACAGCATCGAAACGGCCAACCTGCAAGTGTATGGAGGATTTTACAACGGAGCCGCTTCATCGACCATGTCGGCCATAGTTTTGCTGTCATTGCTATCTGTTTTGTTTATGTTCACAAACGCTTTTTGATAATATAATTCAACGGCTATTGTACATAAGAAGCAAGTCACGCTGTCTGCCTAAATTATTAGTGTGTATAATTCACCGCAGTTACAAAAATATTACCATTGATCACTTTTTTTTACATTCCAAATTAATTGTTTTTACAATTAATAATTATAACTATTGAGCTAATATCAGTGTGGACCTAGCGTTTAAACAGTTCCGTTAAATATTTTACAAGAGCCCTGCTTAAGCGCTTTCTTAACAAAAAAACAAGCTACAAAATTTATATTTAAACAATTTTTTATTCATTCGTTCTATAAATCAATTCCTAGTTAAATGCATGGAGTGATAACTATAATAAAACGACATTTTTCTCTCCCCCACTTCCACAGTAACTTAAAACTATCTATGCCATAAACGAGCCATGATCAACTTAAAAAAAAAACTGGAGCTATGGTGTCGTCAGTCGTGTACTGTCCCCTAGCATATTATGGATTGGCGGATAAGCCCATACTGATATTATAATGCCAACAAATATAATTTTGTTTCCATCACGTGGTACTTTCAATTATTTTTATAGCTAAATCGCATCATTTTACAGTAACGATTTACTTGTGTAGTCAAAATTATTGTCGATACAATTTTATGTAAAAATAACTGTTTTACTTCTGTCACTGTAACGCTATGTTAGTAATATATGTGTAATTTTTAGGCGGTAAGACTGGAACTAAGTTTAAAAAAACATTTATTTTATTAAGATAAACACTACTTATATTGAATTTAATTGTTGATATTAAGTTTAGCCAATTAAAAACATATTATTTGTTAAATATACTAAAAATGTTTACGAAATTAAAAAAAAAGTATGTTTAAACTTATTATAATAGATTTTACTTCAGATATTTTTTCGTAGTTAATTCGACTTAAGTTTCTAACTCACTTAATATTTTTTAACAAAAACTAACTTCAACATTTTTCATACTTTTAATATAATTTTTTGTACCATATTTTTTATTTGATAAAGGTTCTCTAAATATGATAGCCGGTGGTATATTACTACTATTGTACTTTATAATGTTCTATAATCTAATTTAGTTTTTAATTGTAAAATCTGAAAACAATATTGTACGCTCTAAATGCTAAATTTCAATAGTTGTTATTAATATACGCATTTATTAACACCATCAATGTCATTTTTTTTTACATTTATTATTTATTGTATTATTATGCTGCAATTTAAAATTTGAAAATTCACAACATTAAACGTGAACAACGAAAACATTAAAGACTCACGTTTTTTATGTAGAATTTAGACAAATGGAAACTATTAAAAAAGTGCTTGCGGATACCTATATAATTATCTCTATTTTGTAGAATTATATAATTGCTCATAAAACTTGTTATAGACAGTTCATTTTTTTTCGCTACGTCACTTTGTTTTCACATAAACGGCTGATATGAGTTATGCCATTGATGATAACAATACTGAATTCAATGTATAATATTGTTAATTATTAATACATTGAAATAGCAATGGGTATTTGAATCGTCGAGAGGTAATAATAATTTGCAGTTTTACCAACACTAATTTCGGTCAAATATTCAGATGACCCTACCCATGGTACAACTGTGTAATATTGAGACAACTGATAAATCACAAATGCATTTATTTAATAATATGCTTAACGAGGACCGCGCCGTAACCGTTTATAATGATTTCAGATTTGCTGTTGGCGATACCGCATAAGGAACATATTACATTCATTACATTATTATTATACAAAGTAAGTATCCGTGCTAGACGTTTTTTTTTTTTTGCTGTGGCTATGTAAACCGCAAATATAAAAAAAAACGCAACACATTATTACTGCCATTTGCGGTTTGTGTATGGTCCAGCCTCCCCCCACCCTTGTTCCTACTCGGGTAATTACAAATATATTATAGCTCACTTAATAACCCTCGTTATATTGTTATATACACATATATATATATATATATGTAGACGTTAAGGACTTAAACACTCATCGTCGGCGATGCACAATAGAATGTGTACACTTATGTGTAATAGGTATATGATATTATATTGTATATACAGTATTGTAGGTACACTATGTCGAGGGGTTGTAAATCTGTTGCGTGTCGTCCGATCATAATCGCCCTTGGACGGTCGTCACGTATAACTCAAAGCCGCTCGTTTAGGGGGCATTTTATTTATTAAAAAAAAAATCCCAATCTCACCCCTTACTTCGTCGTTATATTATTAGCGTCATCATCATCATCATAATCATGTTTATCGTCAATGACCATGTTTAACGAGCCAAACAACTGCGATCGACCGACCGATATAATTTAATACAATATTTAATGTCCCGGCTAAACGTAAACGGCACGGACACGCCACGGAACTATAATCCCACGCTTTTTAAAAAAAAAAGTTTTTTTTTTTTTGATCAAGTGTCATCCAAGACGTTGAGCACGCACTCCGGCGGACCGCTATGCAACACCATACACACACACTTCTTAATCTTATAATGTGCAAACAGGTGCAGCGCCATCCGATTACATAATTGATCCACCGTTTGGACGCGGAGTCAAAATCGTTAAAACATAATATATGTGTTTGTTTTCGATTTCTCGAAGGTTGGCCACTATTTTGACTACATATTTTGATGTTTTCTAAATATTTGTTTGCCTAATTCTAATTCTGAATAAGTATGTCCATAGCCGATAGAGTACATTTAAATAGTTTTTACTCTTCTTAGGGTAAACGGTTAATAATATTTGTTTGGTTTGTCAACGTTTATCGGTAGTACCATATGTTTAAAAAAAATATTGGCAACTAATTACACTATTTGTTAAATGGTCATAGAGTGTCGTAACTTTAAGTTGAAAAATAATATGTAAATTTGTTGGGTGTTTTTTACGATTTTGAAGTGGAAGGGCTGAATTTTTTTAATGTTTGGCCCAATGAAGTACTTTTTGGATACGATTTCTGATCTATAACTATAAAACTATATAGATCAGAAATCGTACCCAAAAGGTACTTTATTGGGCCAACAATTTGTAAATGCTAAATGAAGAAATCGGTTCCCAGGTATAAAACATATCGTGGGCCCAGACACAAAAAAAAATTAATAAATAAAAACACACGATGGGATAAAAAATAATACCTCCTTTCTACTCCTCATTAAAGTTAAAATTTAAATTCAAAATTCTTATTTTTTTAAAATTATTTTCTTAGTTTATGGTAATTTTAATTATTTTATTTGTATCTATGATATTCATATTATAAGTGTGATTGTATATAGGATGTAGTTAAATACATATTGGTTATTATTATAATTAATATCAATAAACTATTATGTCAACAGTGAACACAACCATATTATATAATATAACTTTTTTAATAACGCTCCCCTTTACTAACTTAGTTTGACATTTTATCTAAGCGGCTCCGTACAAGTCGACCAAATTGTTTAAACCGTGTACTCGATAAATTAATTAATGGTTGTCCTCATAACAATCTGCTTTGTTGTTTCTTCCCAATGTTGTTGGGATTGTCCAGTATGTTGTATATTATCTGAATTGTATTGATCTCTGCAGTAGATACTAGATAATATATTGTGTGCACAGTGTGTTACTCATAGTGGTATAAATTACAATAATGAATTCGGATAAAAATCGGCTTTTAAATACAGTAGCATTCTTCTTGGTTAGGCTTAACATTAAGGTGACTTTTCTTTTGTACAACTACCATGGAGGGGCGGTGGTTGATTACAGATACTGTTTGTGGATTGTCAAGGGCAACCGGTGGGACTATGAGCCGTTTTATCTGTACAGTCGGTCTCTGGCAAGAAAAAGATACACATAATATAATGACTATGGCGTGGTGTTGTATAATATATTAGTAGTCTTTTAATATGCTTGCAAAGCCGAACAGAGCTGTAGGTAGGTACATACATAACAGGCAACGTCCAGATCACAGCTTGAACCACAGCAATATCATACAATTTTAAATAATACCTAAAACTATAATGGCTATATATACCAGCGGCCACATCCCCAACACGAAGGCCAACAAGCAAAAAAATAAAACTGTCTACATTTTTTTTTAAATACAATAACAATTTTTTTAAAATTATTTATATTCTTTTTTAAAAATATTTTTAAAACTTGTTTACAAGGATTTAATCATTGTGTAAAATTGAGTTCATCATAATTTTAAGCCATAATAATTGTTGTTGTTACTATGTAAACTAAATTGGTAACAACACTTTTACACAAGGAAAATTACAATAAACAAATTCTCATGCGTTAATTTGTGTAATAATAAAAAAAACATAATACATGGTTAGATAACTTTAACACAATTTGGTATTTATTAAAAACAACAGAGACTAGAAATAAAAGAACATAATGTCTTACAAAATCAAATAATTACATCATTTTTATGATTTATGATAATTATACACGTTGCTATTAGAGCTAGATACTAGTTAGAAGTACTACTATAGTTTGTCTAAAAATAATTCCAATACAGCAATTATATAATTCCAGATCAATTAAGGGGCCTGCTCGTACCTTTTTATTAAAGAATATTTGAGAATAAAAGTGGTTTTAATTAATTTCGACTATGATAATTTATTTTTTATGTTAATTCGTGTAAGCTTCTGGCATTATATAATTTGCCATTATGTTTCTTAAATAATGTAAATTAACTATATTAGTTAATACAAATTGCATTTTGTCAAGGATAAAGGAGATAGCTAAAAAGGTGATTGACCAATACCAAGGTGGTTTTACAACAGAGCAAATTTTCATTGCCATGCAGCTTTTTCAAAAATCATAGGAGTTCAATGAAGAAATGCATATACTTTTTATTGATTTCCAAAAAGCGTATGACAAGAAATTTTAATTTACAATATGATAGAGTTCCACTTCTCACATAAATTAATAAGTTTTATTAAATCATGGAAACTCATGGAAAAATCAAAATAGGAACTATAAAATCGTAACCAATACTTGTAAGGCCAGGACTATTATCGGCCACATTGTTTAATTTAGCACTGGAAAAAGTTATAAGAGCAATGAATACTAGACCACATGAAGTAACGAACATTATAGGACTGCTAGCGTACGCAGATGATCTATTAACAAAATTAATTAAGTTTACTATATAGTCGGCTAGAAGAGATATCAGGAGAAGTGGGGTGACGTGTCAATGAAGACATGTCAAAATATATTGTCATAAGGACGCAAGAATAAGCCCGTCCTTATGTATAGGTCGATAAAATTTCGGTAGAGTGGAACAGTTTATGTGCCTAGGAACACGAAAGACGTAGAAGAGCTAAGAAAAGGATTAGATTGTAAAGCATGAGCTGCTGATAGCGATGGCTGGAATTCTGTATGTATGACAGGATGGTACTAGAGGCCGATTACCCAAAGAAGAAATATTGTAAACTAAACAGTACTTATATTAAAGGCTTGATGCAAATATTTTCCACCAAACTTCAACAAGACATTTAGAAAGTATTCACATTTTTTTTTGTACTGTATGTGGGTTGTGTATAATTTCAGGTATTTTGGAGCACACTGAACGACTGTTATACATTGAAATAGTCGGTAAATAATATAAAGAGACCGTTGGTACTGGTTTTGAGCTACTAACTATAGTCTTAATCGAGTGGTTAATACACGTGTCTTACGCATTATTATAATACTATATATATATATATATATATATATATATATATATATATAGGTGTAGATAATGCCAAAGGTGAATCTGTATGTACATTTTTAACTGCCAAACGATTAATTATTGTTGTTGTTGATTGCTGTATGTCGAACAAGGGCATCAGTGGTGGGATAGATCTTTGGCAAAATAAATCCGGTGTGCTGGAACATCTGCCTGGAAAAACCACAAAACGATTACGGTGAGCCGCAACGATACCGATCAGATCTACATAATACAGATAGATAATATACATATATATATATTATAATAATTAACTGCCACGGCTGCATATGATGTCTGTGAGTTATTGTGTACAGATAAATAACACGGTAGGTTCGCGTTAACCGGGCCGGATGATTTGATTAGAATCTGTTTCCGCCGAGCATGAGTGTGTATACCTTTACTTAATATTTTTGTCAAAAGGAAATTTGATAAACGCGTACACCGTCGCCGCTAATGATAATAACCGTGAAATCCGCCGGGCTGAACGGCAAGAGAGAAAAAAAATAATAGAAATCACAATAAAAATAACGCATTGAAATAAGTAGGTATAGGACGTTTTATTGAAACACCTGACCAACTTCGCACGGCGCCTTTGTAAAGCAGATCTAAATACGCGTAAGGCAATCGAGCTTTGTCGTGGCCGACATAATCGCCACCGCCCCACAGCCGCAATCTACGCTAGTTTGGCCATTAAAAAATATTAATATTTAGCATTTGATTTCGACGGGAGAAAAAAATAATATTCACAAATGACCATCGAGCCGGTCAACAGCGAGGATCGTCGATTATGAAAATATATAGGTACATGATAATATTACATACATGCAAATATGCAATTATGTATTAACAAAAGCTTGAAGATTTAATTGTTTATTTTTTTAATATGCATTTATATAAAAATAAACTTACAAAATGCGTAATGATTTTCAAAAATTAAAATATTTTATAAGAATTTCGAACGTCTAATTGACAAAATACGTTCTGTATAATATTTTTGATTTATCTAGCATTAGTTAAATTATTCATGATTCAACAAGGAAAATATCCAATAGAATTGGGTGTTAAGTACTGTATATGTCAAATTATATTCATGGGCGGACTTTGGATTTGATTTTTGGAGAGACTTTGGCAGCAGACAATCTTTACACACTAATGTAGCCTGCAAAGAGTTTTGGTTTTAGCATTTTGTACTGCTTATATCTGTGTAGCTATGTTATAATATAGCTACGTACAAATTATATAATAGTAGTTTTGTAAATTCGTTTTCCCGAATTCAAATTCCAACTTATTTAAATATTTTATAAAATTAAATATTCATCGACCAACGTCATTTGTGTTATTTAACAGAGAAATATTATGTTTTGTCTAACTCAGCAACGTAATCGTACATACTAGTAGTATATGCTGCATATTTTTAACGCAAATCAAAAATAATCAAATAGGATCTATGTAATATTCAGGTGTGTTTTTTTTATACGTTAGGTTTAATATATTTAAACATTATAATTATATTATAATTTGTGGTTAATCGCAAAATAAATATTAATTAGAGGTCTTGTTTGACACGTGCTGTTTTTTTTATACCAACCCGGATGTAATTATATTAAATACTTTTTTTAAAATTTTTTTTATTAAAATATTTTCTTTATTTACAATCTATACAAAATATGTATAATCAGCAAGTCTAATGACAACGATACAATGACATAACGTGTGAATAGGAAGGCTCTCAACAGTGCCACCTGACCAGAAAAATATATTAAATACTACATTTTTTTTTTTGTTAGTTTTTACATACAAGTTCTTAGCGGCTATAGACTATTACAACTAGTTATTTATTTAACATTATCGCACGCAAGCTATGAGTATACATTTTTGCGTGTAAGAGGTTCATTCGTAAGTATGCTGAGGTACTAATTATTAGTGAGCTAAAAATCTTATTAATTTAAAAAAAATATATTTTCCGGAAGAACCAAAACCGAGTAATAACATTAATGTGTTCATCATGTACGATGCTTCGTTGTGGACTATTTTAACAGTCGTCGGACTTACCTTATTTGCTGGTCGTAATGCGTTTTTTCTAGACGTTTGTCTTTAGCTCTTCGGTTTTGGAACCAGATCTTGACCTGGGTTTCCGACAACTCCAAGGCGCCGGCCAATTCCAACCGTCTACTCCGGGACACGTACTCGTTGTTCTTGTATTCCCTTTCCAAGCACATGGTCTGCTTGGGGCTGAAAGTCGTTCTCTGCCGCCTTGGACCGCGTCCTTCTTTCCGGCGTCTCCTTTCCACTGTACAAAAAGCCAGCAAACAAGACTTGGTAAACAAATCATGGATAAAAAAACACAACCCAGAGCCAAATCTATATACTTAAATACTATCCCTCGAGACACAACATGAGTAAATATGCGCACAGGGTTGTTGGCGGAACCTTAATAATATATTATTATGTGACAGGTAAGTGGTAACTATACTTGTACTGCCTCGAATAAAACCACATAGTATTAATATATTTTTAAAATATCTCATAAAAAAAAAAAATATTGTTAAATGACGACACTTAAAATATTTTTCCTTTTTTTGTTGGAAATTGAATATTATTACAACAAAAACTTCAATATTTCTTCCAAAGTGTTGTAAATAAAAAAATTACATTTAATAATTTAAATAATTTCTAAATTTGTTGTGTAAAATATTGTGATTGTAACATTTGTGTACTTATTTGATGTTTAAAATGTATAACTCGTGTGTAATTATTAATTATAAACATTGATTATACTCGGAGTATTTTTGCTGTATGAAATCAAACAGATATTACACTTCCATTAAATTAATATTTTCCACAAAACCTCAAGCAATCTTTTAGAAATTATCAATACTTAAGAATTATTTATGCCGCGTGGGTTACTTATTGTTATTTTCATGATCCGTTTGAATGAGTGTATTATTTTACATTGCATTATCATAATAATATAATGATTATCGATTGACACAGAAATTACATATTGTAAATTTTGGTACGTATGAACGACGAGCAAGGCACGTATATAGTTGTCGCAAAGAAGTGGGTAATATTTTTGTAAGCTTTTTTGATTAGGAAACCCGTTAAATGTCCTTATAACAATGTATTGTTCGGAACAGAGGGTTAATTGTTATGGCATGGCGTACCAAAAAAAAAAAAATAATAATAACAGTAGGTGTATTAACTTGTAACATAATCGTGTAAATCGTCGACCCAGCCAATAGACCTAACCTGTAAGACTTCCAAGACGGTATCGTATTCCTCGGGATGTGATTTAAGGAACCCCATTAGAGACGACATGTGCCTTAGAACCGGAAAGATTTTCTTTCCGGCCGATTTATGTAACATCCGTAGTTTATTGACTTAAAATTTATAAACGACACAATACGGTGAACACCAAGAGTTTAAATTTTGTCGTTTTTTTTAAAGTAAATTTTCATATAAACTTTATACATCTATAAAAATTAAATACAGAAACTATATCTAATACAATTTATTATAAGAACATGTTAAATCTAATTTGATTATTTGAATTTTAGTATAGACTTTGGTAACAACATTTCGTTCAAGACAATTATTATTATTTAAAGCACACAAAAATATTATACAGCTATATATAGTTTTTGTCGACGAATTGCCTATAAAAAAAAAACCCCTTGATGTAAATTATATTTTTGTGTCTTGTAATATTTGTTTTTAAATATGAATTTGGTTATTAATGTTTTAGTTATTGAAAATGCAATTTTATATTAAGAGTATATCATAAAAACAGTCAACAAAAGTTGAATTTTAATCATTTACTTGAAATCACGTGATGTCAATTTGTTATAAAGTGTAATTAAAAGTATTTGTCATACCTGCAAAAACAAATTTTCCATTTGGCATTTACCTTTACTATAAATTTTATAAGACTTTCATATCTCATCTAACTTCTGGTGCCACACATACTACACTTTATCTAATACTTATTCGCTTAAATTACTACAAAATTAATTACAGCAAAAATTGTCAGAGGAATATTATATTATATAAAATGGCTGTCTTCGTTTTTTTTTATTTATTAATTAGAGAATGATTGTTTCTTCTTTTTAATTTACATATTATATAGATGTATATTTATTTTGTCTAAAATATGTATAACTTTCAGTCTATAATCCAACGGATATTTAGAACAAACAGGCATTCTTTAATTTTTCTAAAACCTGTTAGGTTAGGGCTTATTTTTGGTATACGTGACCAAAGAAAAGAAACACGTAAGCAATAACGAGCATAACGCTCTACCTAGGAAAAGATAACTTTAAACGATAAATTGTGGCAATGTACAGCAGCCTAAATTGATAGCGACAAAAAAGCTTCATTTGGCAATAATTCGAATGTAAAAATTTAAACTTCTCTAAGTTCCAAGTTACAGCAGACGTTTTATTTGATTATGTACTGAATACTAACTATAGTATACAAGATTATCAAAATTTTATTTTACAGACATCCTTTAATTGAAGTAATGTTATTTTAGCTAAAGAACTTTTCTAGTAAAATCTACGTAATATTAAATTATTAGATTTATTTTTTAGTGTTTAAAAATATTATTTTATGAGTTAGTTTTAGAAGAACTTTCTAGAGCCCAATGACAAAATTTATATTTGACTTACTTATTAAAAAGGAAATAATGTAATGGAAATTATGACTGCTCGACAACCGGGCTTGAATAATTATTTCTTGATTAGAATTTAAGTTATTTATATAGTCGAGGAGTGAATGCGGGCGACTAGTGCAAGTGGGTACAAAATATCACATTATAGTACACCCCTCACTCCGTCAATAACATTAAACGCTAATAATTATTAGGTAAATTAAATATACGGCAATATAAGTTGGTTAGGTTGGTTTTTTACTTTAAAAAAAATAGTTTGTTCAACTCGAGTACTTTAGCTTGACCACTTACATTTGTTTTGATAGTTTAATTTAATAAAGATTTAGTTTGAAAATTATTTAGCTAAAATACAATGTCTTTATTTCAAATCTGTTTGTAAGGTAAAATGTTGATCAGCTGTAATAAAATGAACTAGTAATATTTTTTATTGAAACAACGTTTAGTACACTTGAGGCGAATCGTTACTTACGGAAAGCGGTAAGCCCGACGGCGAACGGATGGTCGGCCAACAAGGAACTGACCATTGCGGGACGGTCGACCATCCGCACCCGGAACGGAACGCACGTTCGTTTCTTGTCGACGGCGGTCAGTCGTCCGCGGCCACTTACAGCCGGCGTCCCGGCGAGGACGGCTCGAGGTTCGCGGACAATGTCGCCGCCGGCGGCGGCGTCCGTCTCGTACAGCATGGCGAAGAACCGTCTCGGCGACAGCGGCCGGCGAACGGCCGTCCCGGATTCCGTCATGGCAATAAAAACGGACATCGGTGTCAGCCGCGTCCGACGGGACGAGCCGCGGGAGGCGTGGCCTGGACGACCATCCCTTACCGGCGCGGACGACGTTAAACCCCTTGCCAAGGCCGACCGGGAGGAGGGTACGGAGCATGAGGGAGCTGACGGCAGAAGGAGGGTGTCGCGACGGCAACAATGCCGTCGTTGTACGCCTCGTCGAGTCCGCTTAATCGGGTTTGAGCATACTGACGTCATCGATGTGTAAATAAGTTAACCCAAGTGTTTTTAATTAGCACATAAAGAGTGTATTATGTTTATTGTTGCTTACATATACAAATTTTGTATTGTTCCCAAAACCATAGTTCCTTCATACTCCAACAATAATAATAATATACTTAATCGTTACTCCATAGGCGTAATTTTGGCGGGGAGGGGATGAGGGTAAGATAAACTTTCCTCTCCAGACATTTTAACCGCATAAGTATCATTTGGTAACTCCCAACAAGTATGCCAAATCCTCCTGATCCGCATGATATAATAATAATATCATAATAGTACAATACTACAATGTTAATGAAACAGTTGTCTAAAATTTGTATAATATTTTTAAGTAAGACTTCTGTTGAGTAAATTTAATATTAATTTACTAAGATATTAGGCCAATTGCAAAAAAATGTTAACATTTTATTATCATTTTTTAGTCAAAATGTCTTGCAAATATTGTTTAAGCATTATTAATGAATTATTTTATTGGGCAGATGCCGAGAGCACTTTACTCTGTAATTAAGTAACAATATTGGAGGTGATGATTATGCAGTTGATTGGCACTTCACATCGATTGTCTTAATGTTTTTGGAAAGATAATTATATTAATATTGGTCAGTGTTGCGTAATTTGACTTTTGGCTTAATTACAGACTACAATTATTAATGTACTTTTTAAAAAAAAGTGATGATATGAAACAGAAGCGTGTCCTGTAAAACAAACAAATGTACACCAATGTCTGTTGGAAATTGAACGTTAACGGCTTACACATCCAACGCTAATAGGTGTAGCTATAAGAGCTATCCCGTTTTTATCACAAGTTTTACTTAAATATGTGAACTGTATTTGAAATAAAAATAAAAATTCCAATCTTATTGTTATTAACGATATTCTACACATATCTAATTTAAAAAACTACTATTAAATATATGTATGAACATTGCAGTCTTGCAGTCTTAGTTGTCGGCAGACGTGGGCAATACGGTGGTGTTCTGAGACTGCGATTTCTTGATGGTCGAGCACACGGAAAACAACAAGTGCAGAGGTTCTATCTTCGAATCGGTCTTTGGGATTCCAAAGTAATCTAAGAGAATATATATATAAACATGTTTTATCAACAATAGGCCTGTTCATATACTAGTTAAATAAAAAAAATAAAAATTTGTCATAAGATTGAAACAGAATTTTATTCAATATTACACTTACCACAAACGTCATCAATTAATGTTAGCAAATCCGTATTGTCGAAATCCGGAACTTCTCTGTGGACTTCGTCAGACCACGGTGCCATTAAATTTTCAATCTCTGTGCTGTTAATGAAAACCATAGTTAGAATATAAACTCAAGCCACCGTGGGCACAAACAGAATTGGACATTATTCCAATATCTAAATGAAGCGATTAATAAAATATTATCTTTTATTTTATCATATTTTGTTCTTCGATCATTTATATATAATAACATTTTTTTTTTATTCGTTATCTTTTATAATAATATGATATGTGTTATTATTTGTTTATGTCTAAATAAGATAAATAAGTACAATTTTTTAACTATCTAATTAGATATTTATTTTAGTATAAAAAAAATATTTTACACAATTTAAGATTTATTTTTGTTTTTAAATACAAACAATTATTTTCTATTTATTACTTATGAACATTTTTTGAAAATGTCAGAGATAGTTTTTTATACATAAATAACGAATAAACGAATACTATTTTATTTATTGGATTACAAATACGGTTATTCGCAAATAAATAATTGTCAGTACATTATTCGTCAAACTATCCATCTATTATTAATTATCTTGTTTAAATTTTGCCCAACTCTGGCCACAAACTATACCTACATCATACCTGGAAGAAAAATTGAACGTGGACGTCTTGTTACGGTTCAACTCGCTTATGTCACGTACCCATTGTTCCACGACTTTGGGGTTCTTTTCGGCGTTTTCCAGTTTTTTCACAACCTATTGTTTTTGTTAATTATTTTATTTTGTCTTGATCGCAATATTCAGTAATATTTTATACGTTAGACAATATTTCAAAAGCGCTACCATCGATTGGGACGAAGAGCAAGTGGACGCTCGGAGTTGCAAGTTAAGAAGACACGGGTCGCTTTGGTTGAGACTTGGTTCGTCCAAAAATTCCAAACCTATTCCTTCCTGTATAGTCGGATCCGGCGGTATGACTTTGATGAAAGCGTCCGCGTCACCGACGGCCGGCAAGTAGTCCGGTATGAACGGCTGGAGCTTATGTTCGATTTTGGTCTTTTGAGGATAATACCTGCGCAACGGCGTGCAAAGGGCCCGTTTAAAAAATGAGATATTTCATAATATACCGTTTATGTACTTACATTGTGATGTACTTGAAGACGTCTTTGATGTCTTGAGACAACTGCAAGGTGTCATAGTCTCGGTCATAATCCCTAAAAGCGTTCAGAAAATTAAAAAAAAAAACAATATTCGAATAAGTATCAAAAGAGAAATACAGTAAGAAAACTACCACGGACAGGCCACTCGGTAAATGTCCCTTATTATTATTTCTAAAGTAAAAAAACCGTGAAGCGCTTAACAATTGTTTTTTTTTTAATTTAATAAAAAATGTTTGGCAATAAAATATATCCATAGAAATCAATTAAACGATTTTATTACATTAATGGCAAATTATTATGAAATCTAATACACAAACGTGTATAAGCAAACCGAAACATAGTACATTTTTTCAATTTTTTCTACTTGCAAAACAGTTACAGTCAAACTATTGATGTGCTACTTTTATAAACCGGTACAACCGTATCCAAAATATAATTTGTAAAGATACAAATTTTATTTTTATTTTTTATATTACATTTATGTATTATTTAATCGATGGTAACACCTTTTTTCTTGTCATACTTGACTTTTTCCAATGTCATGCTGCCGAATAACCTGTATTATTATTAAAGACATACATATAATAAAATAAATGCAGAATTCTGACCAATTGAGGGTTCAGTATTGAAATAAAACTTTAATATATTTTTTTTTTTTTTTAAAGTAATTATCAAATAATAGTGATGAAAATTGTTTTAATTTGGCAGCGTTGGGCCATAAGGCTTGACGAGGATGATTTTTAAATTTTCAATATTGCCAAACATTTCTTATAATTCTGTGGTGCTCGGGTTTTGGTCTTAAGTCCAAAATAACTAATTTCACAAACAAATCATTTTTTCTTACACAATTAACATTTAACCCCATTTTCACAATTTTTGGACTTACCGCCTTTTATCCGAGCACCACAGAATTTTTGTTCCTTAATCGAAAACTATTTTTAGTTATTAATTAGTCTAATTTTGCTTTATTAACTCGTACAGACACTTTATTTTAATTTTATTTCTGGGAGTATCAAAGGAGATAAGGAGGCACACTTAGATAGGCCCGACGGTTTCTACACCCAAAACGAATAAAGCAATATTCGCTGTACAAAAAAAAAAAATGCGAATTAATTTAATATTTTAAAAAATGTACAAACCTTTGAGCTTCGTGCACGTCGTAATTGTCCGGATCGTCCTTTGTAGGCTCGACGGCTCCTTCGTAGTCGACAGCCCGTAGTCTGCTTCTGGATCTTCTCCCGGAACTGCTGGACATCTATGAATTTATGAATAAACAAAATGTGTAATCTTAATAAAATTAGCTACACCGTTCGTTTAATAGAGAATCTTATCGTTATTTAGTTTTAGTATAAAATATTTATTAGTATAAATGCTTTTGTCGTTGGGAAATATGAATTTACTGTAAACACTTTCACCTTCCGTCGAGAACAGTGATAACTGATAACAGTGTTAGGGATTACTCGTCCTGTCTCTGTTACAGTGACAATATTTGTTTTGTTTTTCGCGTCTCACCAACAGTTTTCTCTGCTTGGCACTAGGAGTCCTCAGGTCCCTGCTACCTCGGTCAGTGGTGGTGGTGTCCGAAGATTCACTATCCACTTCGTCCGCATCGTCTTTGACGTCGATCTCTTCGTCGTACATAGAATAGAATATAAAACGCGTTAATCGCCTTCAATAGGCACCCTTAAAGTAGTTTGGAAATTGTCGCATGAAAGACAAGAACGATACTAATGTAAGTACGGCGGGCCGGTGTTTTTTTTGTTTTTGTTTGGCAGACAACGTTTGGTCGTCATGGGCAACAAACCCGACACAGCGTTATTCTGTACATTGATTTTTCATGGCCATTTTCAACATAAATTCAAATTTACTCTACCACGTCACATACCATACATACCGGTAAGCATACAGGTATGTCGGACTATGTTTATCCATCGTCTAAAAGCGTATCCTATCACATCAATTGGCATCTACATAGGTCTAAACTATTTACATATTATTTGCAGAAAAATAAATGTGTTTTCGTTTAAACACCAAACTTGTTTGTCGCTTAATCTAATATTGTGAGGTTTTTTTTTCACAGCGTGTCGAAAAATAACATTTATATAATTATACCTAACACATTTAAAAAAAAAACTAGATAAAATATAGTGAAACATCATAACAAGACAAATATTTAATTAACGAGTTTTGTTGAATATATTTAAAACAAAACAAACTAAAAAAATAAGTACGGAGAGAAAAAGATAAAAAAATTACACCTACAAGCCACACTTAATGCAACAATATAGTTATAAAATGTTGGTCGCTGGTCTAGGACCATTTATATATTTAGACGAGAGCAAACTATGTAACTGATTGCGTAACAATAATATTGACTAAAAAAAATCTTTATTAACAAATTATAGTTATTATTCTTAAATCAATTTGCATAGTTTTGTCATTAAACATGTTATATTTAGCCATAATAACCTTATGCAATAATATGTAATATAATAATGGGAAAACAATAATAATAAAAACACTCCAACTAAGTCAATAGGTGTAATTTAGCAACTATTCAGTAATACACGAAAAATTAATTAAAAATTGCTTTTCTCGCAACATGTATAAGATAGATATTATACTTAACTGCTTGTTTTAGGACTTTTTCATCTTATGACCCACCAAAAAACCGCATGCAATTTCTGGCATATAAAAATGCTATTCGAATAATAATTGTCAAGTAAATAAAGTTAACTACTACATTTAACATGTTACGTTAATAGTTAATAGCACGTTCGATTGTGAAGCCAGTATTTTTAGATTTCCATTGAAAAAATATAATAATATAATAGGTATGCCGATTATTATAATAAAAATATATTCTAAATATTATGTATACGTACAATAGAATATGAGTTACAATAATAAAATTAAATAGGTCTCATTTTAAGCAATAATTAAAAATAATTGTCTTGTCTAAGCTGAATTTGATTATTTATACAGGTACAAAATATTGATATTACAATTATTATTGTGATGTGTATTTTACGGAACTCGTGTAAGTGTCATATTTTCATTTGTGTATATTTAATTGTATTTCAATTTTACATTAAGGGGCATAGTACGAACTTATGTTGGTTGGGTTGCATATATTTCAGTATAAGGATGAATGACGTTATTCATTAAAAAAACAATAAAATGCGTTTTCCGTTTAAACGGTACAGTGATAATATTTTCAAAAAAACAAGTTTCTTTTCAAGAACACATACAAAAATAAATAATTCTGTTTTGCTCTCTAGTCAAAGTTGTATGAAAATAAATATTACTTATGACATCTACTACTTTATGTGTTTTATAGGGTCTCCTGTACCACAGACAGGAGTAACCTCCTTAATATTGTTAGTGTTAATGTCCCTAATAAAATTTGTGATTGTATTAAATTTTCGAGAAAAGAATATGAGTTTTTCAAGTGAAACTTCTAATGAAATTGTATTCGGGTACACTCGATGGTTGTTGATGGTGTGTCAAAATTCTAATTTGACATACTAAAAAATATTTCAATATTTACACTAAACCCGTTCTTTAACTAGACTAATAATTTATTGCTAAGGTCTAGTTACTGTTTTAGTACACACAACCTATTTTTAACCTAATTTATAGCAGTAATTATAATATTTTTCTGTAAAAACATAATTACTCTATTTCGGTTTACCGTATGTCGGTTTTCTCACGTTTTTCGAAAAATGTCCTAACGATTAAAATCAACAACAAGAAGCAAAAAAAAAACATTTATTTTCATGGACTAAACCTTTGAACAATAAGCGGTAGACAAAACAGTTTTAAAACGAAAAACTCACAACGATAATATCTCAGACACACAGTCGAGCAACACTAATTTTTTTTTTCATGTTCTTTGGGTTTGTTAAAGCAGATTTTTATCACCATAAGCTGTTAAGTACACGGAGAACATTTTTTTTTATCGCAAACAAATTTATGACTTTTGGAAACTTTACAAATTATTAAATTTATATTTTTGTGTTCTTGGTACAAAAATTTAACGTTAAACTGAAATTTCTTACTCGCACAAACTATGCCACAGCTATGGTTGCTATAAAAATTGACAATTGTAACAAAATACTCAGAAATACCAAAATGGTCATCATGCTATATACTTGTTATTGACATTTCCTAAATTCGAAATCAAGGTGGAAAAACATTATGCATAATTTATACAGTATTTAAATGTTAAACACGCCTTATCAATATCGTTGACTATGAATTTAATTTTGTTTTTCTAGCACTACTCTATTACACGGCAATTTATGTATTTTTTCTGTCGAATTCTGAAATTCAAATGGTAACCTGAATATTTGTGTGGCCACCAAATCGATTAAACGTATTCCGAGTGCTCTCTCTAACCTAACCTGACCTGATGCTTTTGGCTATTTTATATGTATCTAGTTCTACGGGGGGAGTTGTACATGCTTAAAAGTGTCATCGGGTCATTCTATATTTAGAAGCATTTTACTCAAATTAACATGTTCACAGTAATGCGTTATGATTAGAGTATAATGTGTTAAAATTGGTAAATAATTTGTTTAAACACTATTTTATATTATATGCTATAAAATAAAATGGCTTATGTAATGAAAACTATTTGTTTCAAATTACCAACGCTATTATAAAAAAAAAAAAAGTTGAGAAGTAATACATTTTACAATATTTTGTACTGTAATTATTTTTACCTACATATATTTATTACCATAATATTATAAAATTAATAGTTAACCTTCGAATGAACACCTAATGTCATTATAAAAAAACACAATATCCACTACCGCCTTCGCCTAAAGGCAAAATGTTACCTATGACCCAAAAAACAATATTAATACAATCTTGTTGGCGTCATCATTCTGCATTTACTTTTGGTTATGTAAAATTATAAATAAACGAACAAATCATCAACATATTTGCACCAGTAAATTTGATCTTTGCATTTTTTCTGTTCTAATATATTTATACCAGAATTTAAAATTCAAAAATTGCATCTGTAGATTTCGGTTTAACAAAAAATATTAAATTATATGAATTTGAAATTGATGTTCTCGATACATATTATTAAACCGAATTATATGACTAATGACTAAAGAACGAGCTTATTTATTTACCAAACTTAATTTATAATAGTGAAACATCTTAAAATTATTTACCTTAAAATATATCCATAGAACTCCAATCGTATTATATACAACATATTATACAATAAAGCAACATATTATAATTTTTTTAAATGTACAGTTGAAAATATTAACTCTTTTTTTCTAAAATGGGTGGCACTTTTTGTTTAATTACGGTTTTTTGTTCCTAGTTTGGGATTTAAGGTCTAAGAATTAGACTGCAGGTAGATTTAGTGTACATATTACAACCAATAATTGTATGGAACCAGACTTACCTTCTAGCTTTCTCGATAAGACCAGGGCTCTGATTCTCTGTACTGTTTCTATCCAGGTTTTTGGAGAATTTTTACTTTTATAACGTATGTTAATATATAACATATTATAAAAAAAAAATATGGTTTTTTATGAACTATAGCTTAACTCTATAGTTCCAAATGCTCGTACGCAGCTTATGTGATTTTCGCACCTAAACCGTTTAGTCTTTAGAGAATATACCAGATCTATATTAGTGTCGTCCCGGCCCTGCTGGATACGTATAGCTCATAAACTATAATAAGTACAATAAGTAACGATTTTAATAAAATACAAATCATACATTATACGGGTCGACCAAACTTTGGGTAATATATTATTTTTGACACTTTAAGTATTGAAAAACTATGTTTTCCCACCGTGTTTATTTCGATCGGCCAAACATTGATCATATAAATATATTTGTTTTTTATGGCCACGAGCATAGATAGTCTATGAATCGCATCCGTCGGACTCGTTATATAGTAACAAACGACAAAAAACGCCTGGACCCTATACAAATATTTGAACACTACTACAAGTAAGACTACTGCCCGGGTGTTGTTTGATTTGTGAGCGCCTAATGTGTGTTTCTTTATTACATTTTTTTGTTACATAAAAAAGAACAAAATCTTAATACATACAACGGAAACGAAGACGATATTATAACCCGTCCAGCAAACGCAATGGCCGCCGGGCTCGAGCAAGATGCACTGAACGGGTTATAACACTCTATTAATTACTTGCTTAATCAGAACTCTGAACTACAGTACGTTAATATTACACACTGACTGCACGTTGGGAATTATTACAAGAATGGAAAATATAAATTTTAACGATAATCGATGAAGATACAAAAATGCCCCGAGATGTACATATATCCGGCGCGGGTACTAGGAATTGTATAGCTACACGTATATTATACAACATTATAAATATATAAGCGTTCCCTAAATCTAAACGACCCACGTCATAAATGTAGTATAAATTTGACATATTATATTTTCATTTTTGATCTGTCCTACTTCATGATGACCTGAAGTTAGATTCGTTTTAATTTGCGACGGGAACCACACAAATCTAAGAAATTGTTTTTCATGTGATTTAGAATCTGTACTTTGAAAGCAAAGAATATTTGTCGTTAACGCTTTTAATGAAGAATGTAATATAGTATGATGAAGAAGTAACTACCAATAAATTAGTCATGAATTTATTCTAATAGTTAACATTTCTTACAAAAGACACTTCACAA